GATTGTAAACGCCTTCAGATGGCCATTCTGCATAAAATTTGTTAGTCTATATATTGATCGGGTACCCGTATGCGGGGCCCCGTACAGTCACCCCACACCTGTGGCAGTGGTCGTTAACTAGCTACTGACACCCTATAGCTGTTGTTTGTTCTATTGCTGCTGCTATATCTGACGATGGATTCATGTGCGAGTTCGAAAGCTCAGTGGGAAATAAACAAATAGTTTCGGTGCTCGATTAGTTCCTTTCTTTATCGAACTCAAACACTTGTTTCCATTCATTCTTATGGTGCGCAGAAAAGAAGACTTATGCAATTACCTGCGATCAGCAGTCATGCCTGTCCCAATGCGTAACTTTGTTCGTGGTGGGTAGTAGGAGGAGGGAGGGGGCTTGGAATTCCGATACATCCACAAGTCGAATGGTAAGAGGCATGTCATGTTCGCTGCATGTAGCCGTTTGAGCGTTAGAAGTGTCTCCTTCCGACACCCTAGGAGATAACTAGTTACCACACCCGAAACCATGTCAACTAAGTGCTTGTTCAAACCCGTTAGGTTAGCAGAATGCTGAACCCCCCTCTCCCCTGCAACATGCGGTGCCGACTCCGGCAGTGGGAATGGCGCCGAGCGCTTTCTTGTGAGCGCTTGCCTACACTTAAGCTACTTGTTGTTGTCTTCGTCGAAAAGACACCACCTACAGACGAGTGCAATGTTGATCGTCTCGAGGCCTTTGTGTCACTGAAGCCGACTGTCGTCTGGCTGTCTCTAATTGATTCCGTCACACTGACGCAGGGGACAACCGCCCCGGAGGCAGGTTTTGCAGAAAGCCGTTGGGACAGACTGAAGCAACTTTTACGTAGTTCCTTCCAGGCGATGCTAGGTCACATCCGACGTTGCTGTGGGGGTCGAGTATCTGCTGAAACAATCCGACTGACTGTCCGCCGTCATGACGATGCAAATTTCGGCGACCTGTGGCGTATTAGCACGGGCTCCGTGCGCCACACGACCTCAACCGATTCTGGTGTTACCCTGTCGAGGATTTCGTGCTCGCTTCGATGACTGCGCCGCATTTCGAAGATTAGCTTAGTCGCACAATCCATCTGCCTCAATCATCAAGGAGGAGGAATCAACTACTGCGCTAGCATCACTGTCAGACAGCATGATAGTCCCGAGAAAGAAGCACTACCCCCAGCGTCCCGGGTTGGCGCTGCTGCCGGTCAGTTTAAAGATGCCCCTTGTCCGAGCATGAGTGTTATTGCAGCCCCTGCATCTGCCATAGTGACCTTTGCTGCGATGGGGAGACTGGAGAACCACAAGGCGAGCATTATCTTCCAGTGGAAGTGGGCATGTGCTGTTTAACGAACTGAGACGACGTTGTCGTCACATCGATTTTCAAGGAGAGAAACGGAAGAACTACGACATAAGGTCCTTAGTCCGCGGAAGGATTGTGAGCGTCTGCCATGCCATGATCAACGAACCGTGGCCCTCGCAGCCTGGTGTGCGCTGGCAATTCTCTGGCACCGGGTTCCCTGCCGGTAGATGCGTTTGCGCTCCCGATAGGTATAGAGGCTGTGTGCATGGTTATCCAGTCATCATCGTCTTCCTATACCTCGTTGTGCTGTTGTTGGTAAAAATCCTGGTCAAGTGTTTGTTGTGGACCACCAGGGGGTGTTAGTTGAGCACCATCTACCTACACTCTCCACCGCCTCCGTTCTTGAGTCTGGAGGAGGAGAAGGAGGAGGAAGAGGAAGAGTAGGAGGCGAAGTAGGAGGAGGAGTACGCTAAATACTGCTCAAGTTTACTCTTATCACCAACTAATTCACGCACAAGTCACCATGTCTGTTCCCACGCGGGGGACATTGTCGGTTGGGACGGTCGAACTATCGTAGTCTGCTCAGTTGCATTCCACGGCCCGTGAACAAGAAGGAATCCGTGCGGCCTTCGGTCAGGATGTGGATGTATTGATCAGCGCTTTGTTCATCATCGGCCAGCTCACTGTTGTTGGTTTCGTGGATTTTACTTCTGCGTTTGACTTTGTGTCCATCGCTTTGACTTAATGACATGCCGCCAAAGTTGCTCAGATTACTTCAAGTAGGCATCGAGCACGTTGGCCTGAACTGTTGACCAAACAGACAAGCTATTGGTTACATTGAGTCACCTACTGGGCATCATTCTGTGCGTCCAATGCTGTCTTTCACGTAGCGGACCATATTAACGTCTTTTGCCTACACTATCCCCGAAAACACGTGAGACAAATGCGGATTTTTTTCTCCTGGAACACATGTGGATTTCATGTGTAGATCTAAAACTATTCTTTATGAGGAAACTGGGTTTACCTGTATTTTACATATGATCCTTCGCCGAAAGCGTCATGTTAGTCCGTCGAAATCAACTTGAGAGTAAATAGAACGGTCTTCAAAACCTGTGCACGCAGGAACGTGTCTGTTTTAATTCGGTTTTTTTGTTGTTGAACCGCTAGGTTCGAGTTCCCAGCACTGTGTAATGATCTTCGGCTCATTCTGTGCGCCAGTCTATTCAGTTCGAGGCTCATGTGCAGCAAACCTGGGGCTGGGTATGGCTGACTGATGACGGTTTTTAAGTCAGAAACGGTTGTCCCAGTCCTTCCTGTCTGTGTCGATACTCCCTTATCTGCTGATAGAAGCGAACAGACGAGTCCCGGAAAGCAGTTCAGAAGAAGAAGCAGCAGCAGCAACAGCAGCAGAAGAAGAAGAAGCCGTGATCGCTGACCAACAAACTTCTTGTTCCAGTGATCACATCTTCTTCTTAACTTCCTTGCCTGCATATATTGCTAGTCGCAGTACGACTGCCCGCGAGAGCCCCAGATTGGCCCCAAGGCGCAACGGGAAGAGCAGGTCCCAGTAACTTGTCGGTGAGTGCCCCTCCTGCCCCGATTACAACGGGCAGGACAACGGGTCTGTGGTTCAATGGTAGAGAGCGTTACACTTAATAACGCTCGTGAACAACAAAAACGGGGGTTCAAATCCCAGGGACCTGTGAGCCTAGGGCTGACAGCGGCTACTAACCGAGAAATGACCATTCCAGCCTCCCGCGCCGTTGTGGGGACTCCTTTAAGCATTACCTATTTCCCTGAGTGACCTCAGGGAATGCGCTCGGATGATACATGCAAAAACAAGCCTATAGACATGCAGCCTATTGCGATCCTGAGGACAGGTAAATCAAAACTGTTTACTGGGGCAAATAAGAAGTCTATACGAGTAAAGAAGAAGACAGTTCGAGCGCCGGAACCATTGGTTTCTTTTGTTTAAACCTTCGACCTCGCGGAGGAGTCCATCGTCGCAGATAAAAGCTCCAACAGAACAGGCGAGAACTGTAGTGAACGATTGTCAATCAACGGTTAGTGGCGTGAGGGTGGAGGTGGCTACGCTGGGCTCTGTATTCCGGCGCTAAATCGGCACATCGATTGACTGACTTCTTATCCGAGACTCAAGGCTTCAGTCGATTCGCGACCGACGTGGTTGATTATCCTGCTGGGTGGCCCGTTTTGAAGGTGCGGGCAGCCACTTGTGATATTTCGTCGCACAACCAGCTCGTGTCCGTGTTTGCGAGATCTGAGCGTGTGCTCAGTCTGACCCGCGTAATTGCAAAGGCAGTCTAGGCACAGGATATGCTGCACAGTACGCCTGACTGCGGCCTCGGATTTGATGGGTTCTTGAATTTCATGGCCTTGTGGCCTATGGTAGTTTTGGACCGGTGTGCAACTCCAACACCTGGTTCTGCGGCAACGCTCTTGGTCGCCTCTGAAACGTCCTTTTTGTGCGACAGAGCATGCTAAATCATCGGTTGTTTTCCCGGTGGGGTACTTCGAGGGCGAACACGTGGACATCGGCTTACAAAAGCCCTCGAATAGTCGTTCCGCATAAATTGGCCCAAGCGGTATTGGGCCTCGGGTTGCTATAGTAAGTCTGGACCTGCTTGAAGAGTGTGGTCGCACAGCTTTTGTTTAGGAGCCAACG